AAATATATCACAAAAGGACCCTTGTTAATATTGGGTTGTTGGAAAAGTCATGACGTATTTTTTCTATGTTTTTCATTGCAAAAATGTGTCATGTCTTTTCTGAGAACCCAAGAGCCTGAGAGCTGAAACAAGGAGGCTTGGTTCCACCTGGTTCTTTCTGCTGGGCAAGTCATACGTGTTGGGTGACTCAAATTTTTGATGTTCTGCACATGTCTGCAATGACCATGAAAGCACTGTGAATATTGATTTTGGGGTCACAAACAAATTTTAGTGAAAAGGTAAATTCACAAATACAGAATCCATGGAGGAGATCTAAGATGGTGGAGTAGATAAACAATGTGCCTGTTTCCTTCCATGAACAAATTAAAATTACAACTAAATTATAGAACAATCAACCTGAGAACCATCTGAAGTCTGGCAGAACAGAAATTTTATAACTACGGATATAAAGAAGCCATGTCAAGACTGGTAGGAGGGGTGGAGATGCAGATCAGGCCCCAAACTTCCATGTGATGCTGAGAAACAGGAGGGAAATCTCAGCTGTGGCAGTTCCGCCCAGAGAAGCGAGGGACCCCAGCTCCACGCCCCCAACCCAGAGTACTGGTGCTGGGAAGAGGAGCTCCACAACATCTAGATGTGGAAAAGAGTGGAGATTCTGGCCATCTTAGTGGGACAGAAGGTGGTGGGAAANTCCCTTGTCATCATCTTTCCTATTTCTGGTGAGTGGGCGTCGTGAGAAAGGCCCAGCTATTGAAGTTTGAAAACCACAGGTTTAAGAAGGGAGCTTTTTTTTTTTTTTTTTTTTTTAGCTGAAAGCAGACTCCAGATGTTAATACCTTCCTATTAAAGAACAAGTTCTACAAAGTATGTGGTCTCTGGACCCCAGACTTGTGGGCCCCTGGGAAGCAAATTGGGAAGCCCTCGGCATTACAAAAACGAGTTGAATCATTCATAACCTCTGTTTTGTTTTGTGCAGAATGTCAACATCTCATTAGATGGTGCTTGGCCCTGAGACCATCAGATCGGCCATCCTTTGAAGAAATCCAGAATCATCCGTGGATGCAAGATGTCCTCCTGCCCCAGGAAACTGCTGAGATCCATCTCCACAGCCTGTCGCCGGGGCCCAGCAAATAACAGCTTTTCCAGTAGGTCCTCCCCTCCTGGCAGATGCTCTAGGGAGGGGAAGCTTGTTTCCAGCTTCCCGAGTACCAGTGACACTTCTCGCCAAGCAGGACAGTGCTTGATACAGGAACAACATTTGCAACTCATTCCAGACCCCAGGCCCCTGGAGGTTGCCTCCCGACGGGGAAAGAGACTCTACTCTCGGTGTCCTAGGCCTCAACTCCTCGTAGATGCTCTCTCCTCATAGTGTCCAGCCAGCATTGCTGGACTCTGCAAAATCCCGGGGTGGGGGTGGGGTGGGGGTGGGTCAGAACCCTGCCATGGAACTGTTCCCTTCATCATGAGTTCTGGTGAATGCCGCAATGGGTCAGGTAGGGGGAAAACGGGTTGGGGTGGGATAGGACTAGCACCATTTTAAGTCCCTGTCACCTCTTCCGACTCTTCTGAGTGCCTTCTGTGGGGACTCCGGCTGTGCTGGGAGAAATACTTGAACTTGCCTCTTTTACCTGCTGCTTCTCCAAAAATCTGCCTGGGTTTGGTTCCCTATTTCTCTCTCCCTCTCCTCCCCCGATCCTTCATATGAAAGGTGCCATGGAAGAGGCTACAGGGCCAAACGCTGAGCCACCTGCCCTTTTTCTGCCTCCTTTAGTAAAACTCCGAGCGAACTGGTCTTCCTTTTTGGTTTTTACTTAACTGTTTCAAAGCCAAGACCTCACACAAAAAATGCACAAACAATGCAAATCAACAGAAAAACTGTAAATGTGTGTACAGTTGGCATGGTAGTGTACAAAAGGATTGTAGTTGATCTAATTTTTAAAAGTTTTGCCTTTTAAGTTATTTTACCTATTTTTTTTTTCCTTTTTGAAAGATGCGCATTCTAACCTGGAGGTCAACGTTATGTATTTATTTATTTATTTATTTGGTTCCCTTCCAGCGCCAAGCTTCCACGGCTGCCGCCATAGTTTTCTTTCCTTCTTTCCTCCTCTGATTTGGGGACCTTTTGGGGAGGGCTGTGACACTTGCTCTGTTCTTAGGGTGATGGGACGCAGGCAGGACAGCTGCTGCAGCTCCCTGACTGCTGCGGGGTGGGGGTGGGGGGAGCCCTGCCTGCTTATCCAAGTGTGGGCATGGGTTCCTAGGGTGATGGGGGAGGGGTGTTGCTGACTTGTGTATATAGGATAGATATATGAAAACCAGCTCTGGATGGTGTGCCTTCCGGATCCTCTCTGGGGCTGTTTTGAGCAGCATGTAGCCTGCTGGTTTTACCTGAGTGAAATACTGTACAGGGGAATAAAAGAGATCTTATTTTTTTTTTTTTATACTTGGCGTTTTTTGAATAAAAACCTTTTTGTCTTAACTTGTGGCTTCTAAGTGTTGTCCATGCTGAGGCATGCTAATGTGTGTTTACTGATCACTTGTATGTGCCCAAATCCTTTTTTAGGAGAAAAAAACTTTCAGCCTAAATCTGGTTCCCTTCCGTAGGACTTCTGGGATAGTCACTTTTCTGAAATGAATGTATGGCCAGACAGTGGGGGGCCAGTCGTGTGTGGACAAGATTTGGCCTGAGGGGCCCAGTGAAATCCCAGTCTTCCTAATGCAAATTCTAGAGCTTCACGACTATAGCACACGTGGTATTTCCCACTTGTGCTAGTCACATTTCATGAAAGAGCCACTTGTGACTAGTGGCCCTGCAACTATAAAGCATTTCCATCATTGCAGAAAGTTCTATTGGACAGGGCTGATCTAGAGATAGCAAACAGCCCTATTGCTAAACAGTTGCTTTTTTTCAACTGTCCCCCACTAGTAAAACTGAGCATGTACCCTTGCTACCTGTTAAGTTTACTGAAAAACTATATACTTGTATTACTCTTAGTTACTGATTCAAGTTCCCTTCATCTTCAGGGTGGGGTTTAGTCAAAACCAGTAGTGGATGGGTGGAAATGCGTTTTTTAACTTAGGCAGACAGGGTTTTCCCCTTCAATGTGTTTGACAAAGGGTTTATAAAAGGAGAAGGTGAAATGTTAGCTCTGCCATTTTCTTCCTGGTTGTGCTGGGATAATTAGTATTTTTAGTCTGTGGTTTCTTTGCAGGAATCTGTTTAAGCCCCTTGTTCATTTTGTGAGTTTAGTTTAAACTGGATGGTGAAAGCCATGAATCCATTTAGTACACAGGGCCTGAATACATCCAGATATGCTGAAAGCACACCCATTTGCATATTAAATATTAGTAAATGTTGGTTCCTTGTTATTAGAAGCATCAGCAGCAGTTCTAACATCCCTACCCGAGGGTTTATCTTGCCAGCTCCCTTTAAGGTGTGCGTGCACACAGTCTTTGAACACTGGCCAGGATTCTGTCTTATCAGGTTGCTTAAGGGTCCAGGCTGCAATACCCCTCACTCCTTATTGTCGACCCTTAAACTTGGACTAGATCCCAAACCTTAGTTCAGCCCCCATGTGGCTACCGTAGAGGAAGGAAGGATTTCTTGGCTCTGGGCTGATTTTTTGAGTTCCCCTTTTTCTTACCCCCTCTTCCTCCCCACCTCAAACACACAAACTCCCAATCTCTTGGAGTGTGATGGGTCCATGCTTCATCTTTCCAGTAAAGTTGACACGTGAACAATTAAAAGTTGCTCCAAACTCAAACTTATAAGGAAACCTAGCAAAACCCCACTCTTCTCCCCCTTGAAGTGAGTTTCTGGCAGTTCATCCTCTATGGAGACTAGGGGTGATGGAAGACAGGGTCTCTTTGAAGAAACACACATTGTGCTCCTACTAGATGCAAGATATTATTAGGGATTGCAAGGGAAGGGTGAAAGATCATAGTGTCTTTTTTTTTTTTTTTAAGATTTTATGGGGGAATTGGGGGAGGGGAACAGACAAGCTGCTACCCTTTTGTTCTTCAGTCTAGTCGAGGAGGGCGTTGCTTCACTGGCCCATGTTGGTATTATCATTGCGCTCTTCCCGGGTGACGCAGTTGCTCTCTGGCCATTGGATGGCTGCTTACTGCAGCTCACAGCAGCTCACGGAAGCCCATGCCAGCTGCAGGCCAGCCCCACTGCAGCCTACGCCGTTGCCGGCGACTCATGGCAGCCCAGCTCCAGGTTGAGCTTTTGTTCACCCGCTTAGCTGTAGAGGGCGCAGTGTCACTGGCCCTCATCTGGGATCCAAACTGGGGCCCTCCTGCTCAGAGCTGGTGTCCCAAGCCAACTCAACCAACATGCCACCTGGCTTGCCCTAGTTAGTCTCTTTTCATGGGTAGTTTAAACTAGTGTGGAATGGGAGTCATGTAGAGGGAAAAATGGTTAGACGCATGGCCTTGGGAATCTACCTTGGGCTTTGATTCCTATCACCAATACTTACCTGGGTGCCTTGGGCAAATTGTCACACATTTAGAGGCTAATCTCTAAATAGAGATACTCCTTCATTCGATTACTAGGAAGACCAATTAAATAATGGGAAGATTGAGTTAAAAAATGGGTGTACTTACATGCAAACAAATATCTCTTGCTTATGGATGGATATGTACTAGGGGTGCTAAAAAATGTATACAAGTGGACACTGGATAGCATTGCTCAAGCAGCAGTTCACTGTAATGAAAAGTGTCTGGGGGCGGCCGGTTAGCTCAGTTGAATAGAGCGCGGTTCTCATAACACCAAGGTTGCAGGTTCGACCCCCACCATGGGCCACTGAGATGCGCCCTCCACAACTAGATTGAAACAACTACTTGATTTGGGACTGATGGGTCCTGGAAAAGCACACTGTTCCCCAATTAAANCCACCCCCTCTCCTCCCTCTGCAGGCCCGGCAGCCCGGCTCCCCGCCTAGGCCTCCTGGAGAGGCCCCGCCTCATCCCCGCCCGCCCGCCTGCCCCCCTCTCCGCCGGCGCGCTCCGCCCCTTTACTCCTGGCGGTTGGGCGAGCCGGGTGTCTGCTGCAGCGGCCGCGGTGGCGGAGGAGGCCCGAGAGGACTTGGCGGCAGCGGCGGCGGCGGGACCAGCAGCAGCAGCAGCAGCAGCAGCAGCAGCAGCTACAAGCCCCCTGTGCCGCGGCCCTGCCGCACGAGTCCCGCGAGCCTCCCACCCCGCCGCCCTCGGCGCTGCCTGACCTCGCCTGCCCGTCGGCCAGCCGCCAGCCCCCCCAGTTGTCCTCCGACTCGCCCTCGGCCTTCCGCGCCAGCTGCAGCCACAGCCGCAACGCCACCCGCAGCCTCAGCCACAGCCGTAGGCACAGCCACCGGCACAACCCTAGCCCCAGTTCCTGCTGCAGCTCCTCTAGACACAGGCCCTACACTGACACCCTGGAGGTTGGGATGCTCTTGTCCAAAATCAACTCGCTTGCCCACCTGCGCGCCGCGCCCTGCAACGACCTGCACGCCACCAAGCTGGCGCCAGGTGAGCGTCCCCCCCCCCAACCCGGGGATGGGGAAAGGCTGAACCCCCAGGGAGGGGGCTGGGGGTTCGCTGGCCGACACTAAGTTCCCTGTGTCTCCCCCTTTTATTAGGCAAGGAGAAGGAGCCCCTGGAGTCGCAGTACCAGGTGGGCCCGCTACTGGGTAGCGGCGGCTTTGGCTCGGTCTACTCAGGCATCCGTGTCGCCGACAACTTGCCGGTGAGTGGGCGCCCCGCCGTGGGGAGGGCGCGCCGGGCGGGGGACGCACCGGTGTGTTTTGGCCCCGGCGAGGGAGCCCTAACGGAGACTCTCCTGGGGTGATTTCCAGGTGGCTATCAAGCACGTGGAGAAGGACCGGATTTCCGACTGGGGAGAGCTGGTGAGTGTCCAGGAGGGAGCGACCCCCAGTGTGGGTGGGTTGAGAGGCACCCCCCGACTCCCGCCCTAATGCAGCCCCCTCGCCCCCGCAGCCCAGTGGCACCCGAGTGCCCATGGAAGTGGTCCTGCTGAAGAAGGTGAGCTCGGGCTTCTCCGGCGTCATTAGGCTCCTGGACTGGTTCGAGAGGCCCGACAGTTTCGTCCTGATCCTGGAGAGGCCGGAGCCGGTGCAAGACCTCTTCGACTTTATCACGGAAAGGGGGGCCCTGCAGGAGGAGCTGGCCCGCAGCTTCTTCTGGCAGGTGCTGGAGGCCGTGCGGCACTGCCACAACTGCGGGGTGCTCCACCGCGACATCAAGGACGAGAACATCCTCATCGACCTCCATCGCGGCGAGCTCAAGCTCATCGACTTCGGGTCGGGGGCGCTGCTCAAGGACACGGTCTACACGGACTTTGATGGTGAGTCAAACCGAGGAGGGAGCTGCCCAGGTGACTCGGCCTGGCCTGGAGGCCTCGGCCGGCTTCCCTCTCCGGCCTTTTTGTAAAGGTCATTGGGCCGCCTGGCTCCATGCTAGCAGGGGTGGGGCGAAGAGAGCTTCCCCGCGTAGTAATCCCGGGGATTTCAAGCCAGCTGAACCCGTCGTGTTTCTGGCATGATTTTATATTTTAAGTGGAATTCAGTGGGTTCCAAGCTTTCCCAATGAATAAGAGGTTGTGGGCAACCGGCCGTAGCCCAGATTTCTGAAGTCTGACCCAGTTTCCCCGCCAGTACAAGGATGGGAGGGGGAAGTGGGAGGAGAGAGCAGGAGAGATGAAAATTGGTGCCTGTTTTGTGATTTTTGTTTTATTAGAGAGTTTTCTGTAAGGTAGTTTTTTAGAGCTGCAGTTTTTTCTCCCCATTGATCTAAGCACGGATAAGAAATAGAAACAGTAGTTTCACTAAAGAATTCATTTTGTTGATTTTTTTTGGTGTTGTGCGTGAGGGAGTGGAGAATGAATGTTGTGAAATAAGATCTCTTGCTGGTTTGAAAATTAGTTGGGTGTCTCCGCAGAGAGGATGAAAACCTATCCTAGGGAGGGGCTTGGAGCGGGTTCTTTCAGAAAAGATGGAATGGAGAGCCTGACATCAAAGCAGAGTAGGGCGGGTCATCATCTGAGCGGCTTAACTTAACAAACGACAGCCTTTCAAAACTTGTGACTGGGGCTTGTGGTTTGTGTTTATTTGCCCTTGGAGGACGCTGGGTTGGGCTGCATTTTTTTGTATTTAACAGTTAATGGCTGGCCGGGTCCTCCCTTGTTTTTTCCTTTGAGTTTTTGCTGCCCCCTGGTGAGCACCAGAGGGATGGCCCCCACTTTTTTTTTTACAACCCAAAGTTTGTAAACAGGAATCACGTGGTCTGAAACCAGCTCTGCAGCTCTGCCTACCTTTCTAGTGTGGGGAGGAAAGGGTGTGTGTATCTTCCCCCTGCACTCAGAGGGCGGGGAAGAAGGCCTCCCAAAGGGCACCCTGACTTAGGATATTGTGCAAGTGTCCTCACCTAGATTATGTCTGAGATGAGAATCCCACCCCGGCTCCTGGGCAATCTTTAAATGCAGTTTAAGGATGGTCTGTGGAATACCTCCCTTGATTGTGCAGACATTCATCTTTTCATCCCATTGTGGGTGGTCCTGCCACATATAGGCTTCAGGCTTTGGGTCTGCGGCCACCCATGTTTGTTTCTTGGAGCAGTTTGTAAAATCTCAGTTTATGGTCTAGGCTGGTAGAGAGGTGGGTAATGCTTTGGGTTGGAGGGATGCCATAAGCCGCTTACCCACTCCTTTTAGCCTAGGGGGGAAAATGGAGTTCACCCAGCTCCTGAGAAAAGGGAGGTGATGCTTTTTTAAATAGTTACTCAGCTTACCATTCAATTACTTTGTGTCTTATTTTTCCTAAACGTTTGTTTTCCTTCCTATTCCCCCGCCACAGGGACCCGAGTGTATAGTCCTCCAGAGTGGATCCGCTACCATCGCTACCATGGCAGGTCTGCGGCTGTCTGGTCTCTGGGGATCCTGCTGTATGATATGGTCTGTGGAGATATTCCTTTTGAGCACGATGAAGAGATCATCAGGGGCCAAGTCTTCTTCAGGCAGAGGGTGTCTTCAGGTAACTTCTGGGAAGCCCCTTGTTGAGAAAGCAGGAGTCCCAGGTGGTTAGTCCTCCAAGGATAGTCTTTGGATTCTGGAGCGCTTGACTCCAGGAGATGCCAGCTGACCTTTGGCTTAGCAGAATCCTAGGCCAGTGATTCTCCCTGGAGAGCTGGCCCCAGCAGTCGAATGGTTTGTAGTTGAGCATTCCTTGGGGAGGTCGCAGGAAGAGCAAGTGGGAGAATATTAAGAAAAAAAAACCATCTCGTTTTGTTGAAAGGCTCTTTAAAGTACCAACAGTCATTCTGATCCCGTAGCTCCTGGCTGTTTTGCCAGGGAGTGAAAAGTTGAGGGCTCTTCCTTGTTTCTCCCTTAAGGCAGGCTCTAAATATTGCAGTTCCAGTGACCTCATTGTGGGTGGTGTTCATATTTGTAAGTTGGTAGGTGATTTGAATCACCTCATCATGCTCAGTGGTGTCTCATCAAAATCCCTTGTCATCATCTTTCCTATTTCTGGTGAGTGGGCGTCGTGAGAAAGGCCCAGCTATTGAAGTTTGAAAACCACAGGTTTAAGAAGGGAGCTGTTTTTTTTTTTTTTTTGCTGAAAGCAGACTCCAGATGTTAATACCTTCCTANGGGGAATTGGGGGAAGGGGAACAGACAAGTTGCTGTCATTTTGTTCTTCAGTCTAATTGTGGAGGACGTTGCTTTACTGGCCCATGTTGGTATTATTATTGTGCTCTTCCGGGCTGAGGCAGATCAGTTGCCAGCCTCCGGGTGGCCGCTCACGGTGGCTCTTGGCAGCTCACACTGGCTGCCGGCTGCTCACTCTGGCTGCCAGCCACACATGGTAGCTTATGGCAGCCCACTGCAGCCGGGGCTGCAGCCTATGCCATCGCCAGTGACTCATGGCAGCCCAGCTCCAGGTCGAGCTATTGTTCAGCATCTTAGCTGTAGAGGGCAGTGTCACTGGCCCCCATGTGGGATCTGAACCAGGGCCCTGTTGCTCAGAGCTGGCATCCCAAGCCAGCTCTTAACCAAAGCGCCACTTGGCCGGCTTTTTTTTGTTTGTTTTTATGGGGCATTGGGGAGGGGGACCAGCCAAGTTGTTGTTCTTCAATCTTAGTTGTGGAGGGCACCAGTTGCCATCTGGCTGCCCGTCAGTAGCTTGTGGCCCCTAAGCTCAAGGTGCTGTGTTACACTCTTAATTGTGGGTGGGCGTAGCCACCATCCCTGTGGGAGTTGAACCAGTAGCCTTGTTGTTAAGAGCACACACTCTATCCACTGAGCCATTCGGGCAGCAGCTCTGCTCAAGGTGCTGAGTACAGTCTTAGTTGCGGGTGGGGGTAGCCCACCATCAAACAGGCAGTCTTGTTGTTAGGAGCACGTGCTCTCACCAGCTGAGCCATCCTGCTCAGTGGCAGCTCAGCTCGGGCACAGTGTCACTGGCCCATGTGGGAATTGAACAGTGGCCCTGTTGCTCAGAGCTCGCGCTCTTAAGCTACCTCTTAACCAACTGAGCCACTCAGCCTGCCCCATGAACATTTTTTCAGACTAGCTTGATTTAGGGATATTTTACATACACTAAATAACACCCATTTTAAGCACACAATTTGATGTGTTTTGGCAACTGTAAACACTTGTGTAACCATTATCACTATCAGGATACAAAATATTTCCACCACCCCAAAGGTTCCAGCCGCCCTGTGCAATCTCCCTATTCCACTCCCACCAACCTCAGGAAACCATTGATCCACTTTCTGTCACTATAGATTAGTTTTGCCTATTCTAGAATTTAATTTAAATGGCATCATACAGCATGTGAGAATGACCATTTATTGGGTGCCTAGCATGTGATAGATACTTTACAAATGTATAATCATTTCCTTTATTTATTTGTTTGTTTATTTATTTATTATTTTTAGCTGAGCCATCCTGCCACCTGCTGGCAGCTCAGTGGCAGCTCAGCTCGGGCCAGGAGTTGAACGCTGTTGCTCAGCGCTCACATGCTTGAGCCAGCTCTTAACCAAGTGAACCACTCTGCCGTCCCTNAATTAAACTTACGTGATATAATGCGACCACACCAGAAAGAAACACTTTTAGCTAATCCATATACATAATATATATTTTTAAAACTTTATTGGGGAACAGTGTGTTTATTCCAGGACCCATCAGCTCCAAGTCAATCTAGTTGTGGAGGACGCAGCTCGCTGGCCCATGTGGGGATCGAATGGCAACCTTGGTAGAGCACAAGCCTGCACTCTAACCACCTAAGCTAACCAGCTGCCCAATATTTTTATATATACACAAATATTTTCTCTATATAATTTTACAGAACAGAGCTCACATTTTTGTAACCTATTTCCCCCTACACAATTAATAATGTGCTATTGAAATGTTCCCATTTCAAAAACTATGGATAAACACAATTATTTGTTATGTCCATAATGCAGATGTACATTATTAATTTGTGTAATTTCAATTTTCTACCACTATATGTGAAATATTGTATTACCAGGTAGGGCTTTGGGCAGAGATTGTTGCCTATGCCAATATCCATTATCCTTTTCTTCCTTGGTAATAGAACCTCTGATTTTTAGCTGGTTATATGGCTTTCCTTAAGAATAAAGACTAAATTTCTCAGATTCCCTTGCAGCTAGCTGTGGACACGTGACTAAGTTATATAAGCCCAATGAAATGTAAGTAAAAGTGTGTGGGAACAGATTCCAGGAAAATTCCTTAGAACATCTGGTCGGCACCCTTGATCCTGAGATGAAAGGAGGACCCTGAGATGAAAGGAGAGTGGGGAAACATGCTGAATAGACAAAAGTTAAATGCTTCCCTCAGGCCACTCCATTGTTCCAAGCCCTCATCAATATCACCTTTTGTGATAAGCTTTTAATATTTCACCAGAAAATACCTTTCCCCTTTAAATTAATAACTTTTGAGAAATGTGTAGTATCTTTTTGTTTTGTTTTTAATTTTTTTCTTTTTTAAAAAGATTTTATTGGGGAATTGGGGGACAGGAACAGCGTTGGGGAATCGGGGAGGAGGAACAGACAAGTTGCTGTCCTTTTGTTCTTCAGTCTAGTTGTGGAGGACTTGTTTCACTGGCCCATGTTGGTATTTGTTGCCATGGAGCTGTCCAGCCGTCTGTCCCCCCGTGCTTAACCCTAAACTGACCCTTTTGAGGACACTGTTCATACACTTTGCGTCTCCCTGTTTGGCCCCAAAGGATGGCCGGTTAGTCAAGGACAGGTAAGATTCCTCCAGGGAGGAACAACCTAAGACAGGCACGGTCACATGGAGGCCATTAGGAGAAATCTCGGGGCTGATGGAGGTGGGTATGGGCCCTCACCCACCCCCCAAAGAGACTGGAGGTTTTCTACNATTCATTTAGTATCTACTATGTGCCCAGCTTTGCATGTACTAATTTACTTAATCTTACAACAAATCTCCACGAGGCAGATGCTATTTATCCCCACTTTACAGATGGTGAAGACTGAGGTGTAGAGCAGTAAATTCCCATGTCAAAGGTTGCATACCTAAAAAGTGGCTAGGTCAGAATTTCGACCCAGGCAATCTACGCTCATTATCACTCTGCTAAACTGCCTCTTAATAAATGTTTGTATGGATTAGTCATCTCAAGCTTCCTTCAGGACCCAGGATCGGGAGGTCAGGGCAGTTCTTCCCCAGACTCCAGAGAGTGGGGTAAGCAGTTCTGTTCTGTGGAAATTGACATTATTGGTTCTTGTGAGCTCCCCTTCACTTGGGCCTGAGTGGGGAGGAAGAGTTGGAGGTGGTAAAGGGAGGAGAAAAGGGACAAGGGGGAGGGGTGGCTGGGGGCGGGCAGAGGCACATTTCTTGTAAATGTTGCTCAGCTCTCTCAACTGCTCTGCTGGTTCTTGGAAACCCTTACCACAAAGGACCTATCGAGAACAGTGTTATATAGCAGATATGGCCTCATTCCACCAGTTCATTTCCTGCCCAGCCTTGCGCTAGTAACCCCGATTGCCAAGAGCAAGGTTACAGTGACCCCTCAGCCTCGCTGTGGGAGGAAGTGCAAAAATAAGCAGAACTAGGGTTAAGCTGAGAGGGCAGTCTTTATTTTTATTTATTATAACAGGACATCCGATGTACAGAATTGGATTAATTATAATCCTTGTTTCCTAATATATTCTCGTTACTGGTCCAAGCATGGCCTGCTGTTATTACTATATTATATTGGGTGGTGAACCCGCTATCTTAAATTTTGTGTTTGATATTCTCTTACATTTCTTAAAAAAGCTTTTATTTTACAGGTGTGTGTTCTTAAATTATGTAGCGTTCAGCTTTAGTTGTGCTTGAACTTTATAAAAGAGTATCATGCATGTATGTGGTGACCTGGAACTTGCTCTTTTCACTCAATATGATGTTATAAAGATCTGTGCACATTGTAGCACTTGGTCCATTTTCACTCTAGAATATTCCATTGTATGGAAAGGTATTTGGACTGTGGCTGGTGGAGTCCAGTCTTTAGAGCCCCCCAGGTTACATTGTTTAGGAGGTCAGCATGCACAGCAAGGTGTAGCCCTTGCCCAATACCCCAGGGTGAGAGCCAGTGACCATTCCAGAAGAACCCGGGGAACAACTACTATGCACCAGGCACCATGCCATAAACACTGAGAACTCCTTTCTCATGCATGAGTAGACAGAACCAGGCTTTTCTCATCTGCCCCCTTCAGGGTGCAGTGTGATGCCAACAAACAGACAGTGTCACAGCAAAGCAAAGATCCAATTGCATGGCGCCCAGTGCGATCTGTGGACCTGGCAGTGACTGTTGTGTATGTGGCGTGGTGTGGGGAGGTTGGGTGATGTATGTGTGGTGTGTGCCTGGTGTGGAGTAGAGATGATGGTATGGTGTGTGGGTGTGTCTTTGTGAGCCCATATTGTATCTTTGGTGTGGATGGTGAAGCATGGTGGCGTATATGTGTTTGTGTGTGTGTGGTATATGTGTACAAGAAATATAGTATAGTAGGTGTGCACATACAGTATAGTAGGTGTGCGCATATAGTATAGTAGGTGTGGGTATTGTATACGTGTCTGCATGTGTATGTGCCGTTGTACGTACACACTCACTCTTGGAGTTATTACCTGCTTACCCCACCTGGACTCAAGAGTCCTATTTCTTCACTCTGTGTGGCTTGGCTGCCTCCTTTTCCTACCTCTGCCCTGATTCTCTCCTCTCTTCATCTCTTATCTTCTTTCTGATCTCCAACTCAAATCCCTCCTCCCATAACCACCCACCCAATTCCCTTCAGTCTTCTTCCCAGTTCCTCTTCCAGCTAGTCCTTCCCAAGGGACTTTTGAGACGTCATCCTTATTTGACCTTGCACTCTTTATAAAACTGTTGGCCCCCTCCCTCCTTGAAACACCTCCCCTGGTTTCATGATCCTTGGTTTGCCTTCTGTTTTTCTGGCTCTTAGGCCCCGTTTCCCCTCCCTCTCTTGCCTTTTAAAGTGGGGTGTTCTTTCCCGTTCTCACCCCCCAGCCCTCTAGCAGGAAACAGATGGCACTTTCAGATTGGGTAAGGAGAGTGTGAAAAAGAACTATTTACAAAG